TTATTAATAACTGCATTGTTTCTTTCCAGGTAAGCACACATCTAGTTTCAAATCTAAAGACTGATAAATGATAAAATTCGGCACCGTGGTGATATCAAGTACCTTTAAAAAAAAACTGTTTAGCCCCAAAGACATTTATGCTGTGGTTGTTATATTAGAGTATGCCGCTCCAGCTTTATCGACAGTGCAAAATTTGGATAGCTGAATTTAGGAGGGGGGGGGAGAATATTAATTAAGGCACAACGTCCTGCAACTGCCACCACCTAGAAAAAAAACATTATGTTCACCACATGGTAGTGGATGACAGGTGATTGACTATAAATCATATAGCCAATACTAATAGCATATTCTGTGAGAGAGTTAAGAATAATCTACACAATAAACTTGGCATGACGACGGTTTCCGTTCGGTGGGTGTCACATCTGACACCTGATTAAAAGCTTGTAAGACTTGTCTATGTCATATTTAAGTCATATTTCCATCCATTTCTGATATTCATCGGTGTAGGAAGGTGGGCTGAAAAGTAGATGTTAGAGCTGTGAAACCACGCATGCATTAATTTCAACATAATTTCTTATTAATGACTGCATTATTTCTTTCCATGTAAACTGATATTTGACTATTTGAAGAAGACTTCAAAAGTAACTAGGAACGACTTCTTTTGAAAATAGACAAAACTTGACATCGTGTTGTTATCAAGTACCTACAAAAAGGGCTTAAATCTCAAGGTCTTTCATGCTGATATAGTTGCTAAATTAGGGATGATGATCTAGTTTTATTAACAGTATAAAAGTGGGAAGCTGAATTTAGGAGGGGTAGGGAGAGTTTTGAAGATGACGCAATATCTGGACTTCCCGCAACTGCCACCAACGTGGAGAAACATTGATCATGTTCCCCACATGGTATTCGATGACAGGTGATTGACTATAAATCATAAAGCCAATATTATTGGCATATTCCGTCTAGGTCATATTTAAGTCTTATTTCTACCCATTTCTGATATTAATCAGATGTACGAATGTCAGCTGAAAAGTTCATAGGCTGACTATGAAGGCGTGATGTTAGAACTGTGAAACCCGGCATGCATTAATTTCAGCCTAATTTCTTATTAATAACTGCATTGTTTCTTTCCATATAAACTGACATTTGACTGTTTGAAGAATGAACGTCATCTTTTGAAAACAGACAAAATTTGGCATCGCGTTGTCATCAAGTACCTACAGAAAAAAGGGCTTAAATCTCAAGGTCTTTCATGCTGATATAGTTGCTAAATTAGGGATGATGATCTAGTTTTATTAACAGTATAAAAGTGGGAAGCTGAATTTAGGAGGGGTAGGGAGAGTTTTGAAGATGACGCAATATCTGGACTTCCCGCAACTGCCACCACCTAGAAAAAAACATTGCTCGTGTTCACCATATGGTAGTGGATGGCAGGTGATTGACTATAAATCATATAGCCAATACTATTAACATGTTCCGTCGTGAGAGAATTAAGAATAATCTGTGCAATGAACTTGGCATGACGAAGGTTTCTGCTCGGTGGATACCACGTCTTTTGACACCTGATCAAAAGAGCATGAAATAATGTAAACTGATTTTTGTTTTTCTTACTTTCCACCTGCGTTCTTAATATCTATAAAATATGGTATTGTTTGTTTAATAAAGACACGGATTTAATACGTCTCTATGTTAAAAATTACAGAATAGGGGCTACATACATTCCTGAATGTAGACTAATTCATTTTACAAGCATTTTAGGTCTGTGGCCTTTTCTTATCTTTGCTTACTTGATGAATAAAAAAAGATACGGACGCTTTTCATTCGCGTAGAGATTTTCCAAGTGTAACTTAGATGTGGCACAAGGCCGAAAGGATGGGGAATCTAGTGAGGATCGAACTCACTTTTCAGTAGTAACTGGTCTAGCAAGACAAGCTTGCTAACCATTACACCACGCCGAGGTGCCCAAACTTTTTTCATTCGCGTAGCTCTATCGAACTGCCGTAATGTTGCGAGGATAACAGGATTCAGAGAAAAGAGAATTAGTTAAATTGTCTGAAACTTTCTTTAAATGTAAATACGTTATATCAAAATTTAAATATTGCTAGAAGTGGAAATATATCGAGATTTCTTAGATGAGCTATTGTAACTATATACATTCTTCGGACTGTTGTCCTAATCTTCGATGCAATATTCCCGACGTTTTGGCTGTTGTACGCTTCGGCCTTCTTCAGGATCTGTCTATATTTCTGATATGAGGCTTTGTAACTACACTATTTATATTTTTCGGACTGCTATCCTGATCTTTGATTGTCATATTCACGACGTTTTCGCCGATTATATTACTAATAATTATTAATAGAATTACTAATACCTCATCTTAGTTGGAATTTTGAACCAAACCGTTTATCTAGGTGTCATTCCTTTAGATATCTCAATTTCAGTTAATTCCCTAGCTATCTTCTATTGGTATTGAACTTACATCTCTTTGAGTCAAGTCATTTTTTGATCACTCAAACAACGCTTTTAACCACAGTGTCCAGTGAGTGAATTTGGGGAATTTATGAACCTAATGTCCCTGTAACCATTTTTTTAACCAGAACTCATATTACAATTTTTGTTTTCGTTATTTTTCTCAAGCTTTCTGTATTACTGGTTTCCATGCTGTATCCATGTTTGTGTTTGGTCGGCTTAAAAGATTTTTGTAGCCTAGCATATGTGCTGATTCCTTAAGTTTTCAGATTTTCCAATACGGCCAAAACGTTGCAATAAAGATGAGCATTTCGAGAAATGTGAAATAGTGTAAAAAGTGAAAATATATTGAAATTAAATGTCAAAAGAATCGTGGTATAATTCTAAAATGGGCAGATTTTCAAACAACTCTCATGAAAGGGAATCATTGATAAGTTTTAAAATGTTTCTCAATGAATTAATTTATGAATTAATTTTTTTTTAAAAAAAAAAAGGCAAAAGTAATGATTTATTTTGTTGCACATGTCTATCTGCAAAAGCAAAAACCGGATGAATATTCATAAACATTCTCAAATTTAAAAGCCTTCATAAGCCACCGACATCCTTGCTCTTGTATATAAACACGTGCAACAAAATAAATCCAACATTCACCTTGATAAAGTCCCACTTGTTTATTTTTTTTTATTTTGTTCTTTAACAGATACACTCTATCTGAAGATAATTCACACACATACACACACACACACACACACACACACATACATATATATATATATATAAATATATATATATATATATATATATATATATATATATATATATATAGTTGTAGCATACCTAATGATGATAATGAGTATGTCCCCATTCACATAAATACAGTAGGAAATACTGTATGTTGGTCTGCAGTCCGGATATTCGTATCCAACTGTGCTGGTCAAACTCTCCTACTTCGAGCAGAGAGGATCCCCAGGTGATGCTATGTCGAAGGGCAGAGTCTTGCCTCGGGAAACAGCTACCCGATCCCGATAGATACGGGGTCTACGCGGAATTTTTGGCCGAGCCTACGGCCTCGGATACCCCACATTAAATTCGGCCTTGTGCCACATCTGACCGTGTGGGGTGGTTACTAAATATCCTGCAGTTGGAGATTCACTTCGGAATTCACTTGACTCACATCTAGCATTTGACTACTACTACTACTACTAGGCGAATCTTATATGTGTTTTTCGTGTCCTAAGTATTATCGTTCGTTACAAACCTTCGTGTGATTATTCTATTCAGTAACCTTTCCTAGATTACAACATATACAGTGGACTCTTCCGTCGACGTATGAGGGTCAAGCAGCTCAGTTCCTAAGAATCGACAGCCAGACACCAGCAGATATGATTTGATTATAGGGGTGAAGGCTTTGTGTAGAACCATCCACACTTTTTGAAGGACTGAATACATAGACCTGGTGCACTACGTGCCACAAGGTCCCCAAGCAACCCTCCGCAGGTATTAAAATCAGAGTTGTCCTTTACCTAGACCAGTAGCACGCCAAGGCTATAGAATCCAGTCTGTCCTGCTATTTACCCATAGGTGGGGGGGGAGAAGAAGTGGATTAATATCTTTCCCAAGAGTATTAGCACGTGAGTGAATGCAATGGCTTCGACTGGAATTCGAACTCGACTCTCCGATCCCTCAATCGGGGCCGATAGCCACTACACACACACACACACACATATATATATATATATATATATATATATATATATATATATATATATATATATATAGCGATGTCAAAGATAGTATGAATCTAAGAATGTTGACAGTCAGTGGGATAATAAGAGAAAAATCATTTAAGGCAACCAGTCTTTGCAAGAAAGTGCTCCTCTCAAAGATAGAGCATTAACAGAATTAATATAAGTAAAAGTTTGTCACTTAGCTGATTGATGTTACCTTCAGCATTCCGACTCCAGATACCCCTGAAGAGTGTGCGGACAGATCCGCCTACAAAAGTCTGGGGTCGGGATGCTGAAGATAAGGTTCATCAGCTAAGTGACAAACTTTTACTTATAATAATTCATTTATATAATATATATATATATATATATATATATATATATATATATATATATATGCACATTTTCACATATATGCCTGGCTTTGCATGTGTGTACATGTGTCTGTGTGTGTGAATAATGACAAAAGTAAAACTTCTTACCAACGTGTTACATTCTGTGATGGTCTTTAGCAAGTTAAATGTAAACATTCGCTATTTCGACATGTTTTTTTTATAAACAGAAAAAAAAAACAATTAATTTTTCTATTGTTGAGGTGTAGATGAAGAAAATTCATGTTTCTGTGAGTACGTATTTAAATAAGGCATGAGAACTATTTTATTTTATTATTAATCATTATTTTTTTTTTAGAAAAGAACAGAATCTATTTATTTGGTTATGCCAGCCCCGAGGGAATACATCTTTTCTAATTCTATTCACGTTCTTATTGTATCATTTTTATTTTTTGTTTTTTAGTTCGTATTTTCAAAACAAAAGGCCTCCGCTTGTTCCGAACAAAGAATAAACAATTTTTTCTATGCATCGAGTTTGCCTTTTTTGTGCCAGCGGGTCTATAAGATAAATTAAATGGACTCTACCCTTCTTTTCTTTTTGCAAAATGAAGGAAATATTCCAAGTAGACGAATATTTTTTCATACGTCATATTTTGCGGTAAGTGCCACATAACTTTCATAATATTTTAATATTTTATCCCATAATAGTTGTTACATTATCCCATAATAATTGTTACATCATCCCATAATAGTTTTTACATTTGCATATTTATTTCAGACTACATGTCTTTTTGTTATGGGATAAAGGTAATATCTTTTAAGTCGATTAAGCTGCCATGTATCCGACAATTTTATCATTTTTTTCAACATTTCTTATAAGACAGACGTTTGACTTAATTTTGATTTGTTTGTTTAACAGCATGTCAACACCTTATGGGTCATTTAGTACCGAATTTATTTTATTTTTTTTTTTTTTGGAGATTTGAAGTGTTGTGGATTCCGGGTTGAAATCCGGTACCAATAAATAACAAACGCCAGGAATGAATATATGAAAATAATGTATTTAATAATACAAACTGGTAAAGCAGATTAGTAGTTCCAGGAATACGAGTTAGTAGCAATATATATATATATACAGTCTTTGGTATTGAAGTATCGCTGTATGACTTCTTACTGAGTCTACGTGCTCGCTCACTGTGACTCCTACAACGCTGTTACCTCACCCTCACTCTTCCGGTTACCTACAACCTTTCACCCTGTCACTCTGGACTCGACTCTTCGGTCTTGCTCTCGTCTGACTCTCGTCTTACTCTCGTGTCTTCACGTAGCTGTAGTATATGTATATACTGGGTGAGTCCATTTGTGTAAAAAGGGGTGGACCCCTCAACATGAAGTAATGAAAATATAATATATGTTATTCTGCTTTCACAATTTAATACATAGTAGATGATACTCATCTTTCGTACATATAGCGGATGTAACAGCAAAATTGTCCAAATCGTGTAACAGCAAATGTGTCTAATTGTTAGATTAAGCTCTGAACCGTTGTATCTTAAATGATTAAAGATATCTAACTGGAATTCTCTTAGGTTTTATGACACGGAAATCAGAAAAACTATTAGAATCATTAAAAAAAAAACCCAAACAAACAATAATCAACAAAGTAACTTGATTTTTACTCAAAACATTTAATATATGTAGCACGGCTGATGCTAACTTCCAGGAGAGAGACTTAATGCATATTCTCTGAGTAACGTTGTCTACTGTTGTGAGGTTGAAAGGTTATATTGAATCAATTGCTAGGAAGTTTGGGGTTCAATGTACCGCGCCTGATAATTTTTCTCGACAGAATCTATCTTACAAATTCAGAAGTCTACCATTCGCTCTTGATTTGAATATAGCTGCCACATATAGTCTGCTTCACCTGCTGTACATTTTTAGATTCTAGATAAAATCGAAAGAAGAATCTGTAATATTATTGGTTCTGACCTGGCATCTCGACTTCAGTTGCTCTCCCACTGCCGTAAAGTTGCTTCCATGTGCTTTTTTTTCGCTTCTAGCGTCTTATATGCGCGTGTTCATCGTTGCTTAGTGATCCACTATGTAAACAAAACAATGATAGACTATCATCACTGTCGTGTCCGTATATTGTTTGATATGTTTGTAATTACATTTTTGATAATGGCTTGAGTAAGCCGATAGCTTAGATTTTATTAAAAAATAATGGATAAATATTGTGAATTTCTTTTTTCGGTTAATGATAATGTTACCAAACTTATCAGAAGATACGAAAAAATTTTACATAAAATAAATAGACAACACTTGTCTATATTATTTAATGAAACGTGTATAAATGAAAATATGCTGCTAAATACACACAATATATATATATATATATATATATATATATATATATATATATATATATAGAGAGAGAGAGAGAGAGAGAGATAATTCCAGGTTCATTTTCCAACTTATTCAAGATTATCTATTCCCTTTCTAAACTTAAGTTCTATCCTGGAGTAACAAGGTTCCTCACAGGTTTCACGTACGATTTCTTTTTTCGAGTCTTTTTTTCCACTGGTGTTTGGACTGTTATAGCTGAAACTTCTCTCTCGCGTGCCAAACGTCTTATGGATTGAGTCGGATTATTTCTAATTTGTCTCTTTAGCTGAAATGATAATCCCTCTTCCTGTTGTGACCTCCTGATTCAATTTTCATCTCTACTGTTTCCTCTTTTTAAAACTTAATCACAGTTCTCTTGATGATTCTTGAATGGACTTTGAAGATGGAAACCAGAGTATGAATCCTAGTACCATTACTGAAGGCCAGAATGGTACTAGGATTCATACTCATACTATTGCTCAGTTGAGAAGACACAAAACGATTTTAACCTCTTCTCTTTCTAGT